TCATTTAAAATGCTTTTTATTTTCTTTTGAAAAATTATAGAAATTAAATTGGGCGAAAACAAAAATCAAAGCCAAATAAAAGTAAAAGAATCAACATTGAACTGCGTCAAAATAAAAATAAGGGAGCACGAATTTCGATGTGAAGCAAAACTCTCTGGGAAGACAATACCTGTAATTATTGTACCATGTATAGAACCCATAAAAAAAATTTGAAGCCAATCGAAAGTGTGATACCAAATGTTGTGTCCGATATGAAAAAGAATGTCTCATATACATTCATCTGCTAGACGCTATTTAATAAATGAATATTTTTAATGAAGCGAGAAAATATTAGTTCAACAACAATTTATAAGGAAAGAAACGTTATTTCTTTAATATCATATAAATTTATTAAAAAAATGGTTTTCTCTTTAAAAGAATAAAATGCAAACTGCAAAAAATTAATTTAAAAAAAGAAAAAACTCGAACTCGGATATCTTAAATGACAGTCTAGTGCTTTGCTCACTCGGGCAATGCGACTGCTGGGGCAGCGTGAGCAAAATGGCATACATACATAAGTGTCTATTGGTTCCTTTGCACTAGCTGATTTCGAATCAGCATTCGAAGCTGACAGTGATAAATTCAAGTTCACTCGGATTCAGTGATAGCAATTTTTTCGTATTCGTAGCAGGCATTCGAATTCGTTGATTTTCTACGATGGATTCCGTGATAGCCCTTAATAAGTGAATCAAAATCGGCCGTAAAGGAAAGCCAATCCGAAAATTTTGCAGATTGTTTACACTGTGCGACAATTTATGACAATTCAAACCAGCCCGTACTTTGCTAATATTTTCTCGAAGTATGCATATCCAGTAAAAAAAAAAACTCGATGGATTTGCAAAAGTTAGCTCGTATTTTTATTTTATGGCCTACTAAAGTTTTCATGTCCCGGCCTAAGTAGTTTTCAAAAGAGTGGAAAAAATGGTTAAAATAGCCATTGACCCTTACTTGAAGAAACCCCACAAAAAGCAAATTTGCAAGTTCGTTAGAGGAAATTATTCTTCGGAAAATTTTACTAGGGGTCTTCTCAGGCTAAAACTTCATGCTACCAACGTAGAAGTCTCTAAAAAATTAAAACAAAATACCTATGTCAAGCCAAACTCAATTTCAAATAATTTCTGTAGAAAAAAGCCATGTTTTGTTTTGCTGCTTCGAAATAGATACTTACTAAGTCAACATGTCATGTCATCAACGTAAAAATGCCTACAGCAGTTAACTAAAACTACTTTCAATACCTACTATATAAAAATAAACTAATCGTCAAGATTAATTTTGAGTGTATATTTGTGCTAAAAATGGTGAGTTACTGCATAGTATTTGTGATAATTTCTGTACTCACAGCTGGTGAAAAAGGAGAAAGGTTTGTATATGTATGTTTAACTTAATTCCTATAAAGAAATAAATTTTAAATAAGGAGTTACTTATATAAAAAATATATATATAACTAATAACCTGGTATTTAGCCCAATTTTACTTGCTTATTACATATTTCAAAGCAGTAGCTTGGCTTTTTCCCCCAAACAAATTTTTTTAAATTGAGTTTGGCTGTTATTCCTTTTTGGCATAGATGTTTTATTTTAATTTTTGCCTGAGTAAATTTTCAGAAGAATAATTTTCTAGAATACGTACATACATATATCGATCCTCTAACGAACATCCACATTTCCTTTTTGCGGGTTTTCTTGAAGTAAGGGTCAAAACTACGTTTTACGAAAATATTTTCCATGCAATTTTACTATATATGTATGTTTTAACATTTAATTGCGCTTACACATTAATTTTATCCATTTTCCCATTTTTTTTAAAACTACTTAGGGCGGGAAAAGGAAACTTTAGTAGGCGTGCTGGTTTCGGCTGTCGCTCAGTGTTATTTAAAAAAATTGGCTAGTATAATCGCCAAAAAACTTTTAAATATGACTCCATAATGAGCCGTATGTGCAACTGGTCGATGGGCGGTTTTGCAAAAACATCGACGATATGTATGACTGAAACATCCCTGTGGGAAAATGGGAGTGCATTTCCTTTTTCTACCAAAAGATTACCAACTACGGTTGAACGAAAAGACGCATGGATGCGTGTTCCGACTGCCGTGTTGTTGGTCACGGGGTAAAAACCTATGGCACGGACTTTATGCTTTATTTATTTTTTGTTAATTCTAGTTATAGTTTCGTAAAGCGACATGCGACACATTACTTTCGTATGACATCGCTGTGAAGAAATTCTTGCATCTTTTCGCGCCTAGGTTATAGGGGCTATCCATTACTTTTTGCATTGCATTTGCTTTCTATGTGCGCTTCTTATTGTGTGTTTTTAACTCGTTTGACGTATGCTTGAGACATGCATGCTTTCTATGTTGCGAGCACTTAAGAAAGCTTTTCCCATTAATACATAATAGCCTCTATCCGGAATTTTCACAGAAATTCGTTTCTGATGTAATGAACAGTCTAAGACTAAACTTTCATCACTAATGTTAATTCTAACTTTGCAATCCAATTGTGCATTCTTCTAACAAGCGATATACAAGGTCAGCATCGATGACATTTTAGTCACAAGTAGATTTTTATATCACAATTTAATTTTTGTGAAAACTGTAGATAGAGGGTATTGTATACAAGCCGTCGATATGCAATCCAAGTAGTGGGATAAACATTTTTTTTTCTGGTTAACTGTTATTTGCGACCATTGAATGAAGAAGTATGTGGGGTTGTTTAAGTTTAAAACTTCTATTACATACGTATGAGCCATTTATTTTGTAAGTGGCGTAAGTTATTTCAGACAGTTTGACTTCAGTGATCATTGACCTGTATCTAAAAGCGTCTGTTATTCGCTCCACTTCATCAGCCAAATATAAGAAGTTATTTCAGACGATAGAACGATTTACATATCGTCGTTTAAAGTACAAAACCGCGTATCGTCATTCTGCGAAACCTCGTAACTGATATTTGTGCCAGAAAAGATATTTGCTCACCGGAAGCTCTTGGCATCAAGCCCTTATCCAATGGTCGCGTTCATAAGACGTAGCTGTTTAGCTCACCTGCAACGAAACTGCTGGCAACTGTTGAACCCAACAATTACGTCTTAGAAACGGCTTGATGAATGTAAACAAATGAAATTGCAACAAATACAGATAATTGCGCCGATACTATTTAGAATTCAACGCTGAGCGGTCGCCGTGTTGAAAAAATCCTTCAATGTTACAATGAATTAAACAGTGTAAAATTATATAGCAAACATCTTAAAAACATATATTTAGAAACGTGTATTATTAATAAAATATTTTAGTTACTTTATCACGTCAGTAATATAAAATATAATAAATTTGTTTGCAACTGCCACCTAACAAAGCGGCGTTAAATTTAATATAAGCGGCGTAAGTCTTTTCGATCAGCTGTTTAGGCTAAGCCCAACACGTTGAGTTCAGGTAGTGTAAAAATTTTCCGCTGGAAAAAATGGCGGAAAGTTGCCAACTGTTGGGTTGAGCGTAACTACTCAACTGTGCGTTTCTAAGACATATAGCCAACGGTTGGGCAACAGCTACGTCTTATAAACGCGCCCATTTATACTTAAATATCGATACGTAGATATAAGAAGAAGAGATAATTAGGGACAAAAGAGAGAACAGTTTTGAAATAGAACTAGCTTTACTCTCTCCTACAAAATCTTGGCAACGCTTGGCAACCGCTCTTGATACGCGGTTTTGTACTTTAAACGACGATAAGCATTTAGTTAGAAGAAACTAACCATTTGAGCACAAAAGATGGAAATGACTTATGGCCACTATCAAAATAAACGGTTGCTATGTGTGTATGGATACTAATACAAGCACAAACGATAAGGGGTATTTAAGATTTGAGCATAATGCGAATTCTATTTATTAATTAAAATTAATTTTTAGGTGTGCCTGCTAATCCAAACTATGCGGCAGATAAAGTCAAAAATACTTCACAATTTTAACTACCTTTCTCCTTGATTGGTTGAACTATGAACAATTTTAAAATAGTTACGAATTATAGACAGATATCTATACAAATTCGCCTTCAAAACTTGAGTTTACTTTATGTTCGTGCTTGTGAATTCATTGTAAATTTATGGTGTTTAATGATATGAATAAGTGCAGGCAATATGCATATGTGACCTGGTCTACGAAAAGGGAGCTTACGTGCGAAAACTAGTTTTCTGTGAAAAAGCTGTTAAAAGTAAGCAACTCGTTTCGTCAGTTTCTCATTATCTCGTTAATTGTTCTCCGCGCCGGACGTCCAGTAAGTGTTGTTGTTGGTCCAGTAAGTGTTGTTGTTGTTCCAGTAAGTGTTGTTGTTGGTCGGAATATTATTATAGTTCATCGTGTAAGTTGCTAGTGTGGAACATTTAAAAAAGTAACACTGAAGAAGTGACGTTTAGTGTGTCTGTTGATTATCGTCTTCGCATTTCGCATGAAATGAAACATGAGTGTTGATGAGGAGTTCAGTGCCGTATACGGACAATATTTCCATGAAAAGGATGATGAAAACGATGATGAAAACTATGAAGAGAGCGATGATGATGAAGACGAAGTATGTGTATCTCAGGCAGAAGATGATACCGAACAAACTTTTGTTAAGATGGACCTGTATGTTGTTGATGTAAAGGAGGAGGAGCTGGTAACAAAATTTCTACTCAGCATTATTATTTTTGGCCCATAATACGTTTTTCTAGTGTATAATCATGTCTTTATAGCTTATAATTCAATGTATTTTGTTCATTACCAATAAATTATATTTTGTCGTATTTTTACTCTTCTTTCTCTACATTTTTAGTACACTTCTAAGCAAGTTAGGATTTTCTGCTTTTCACCACGTGAAAAAGCATCTCATCTTCCATCCGAATCAACCAAAAAGTGAAAATTGATTTTTTGACACCTAAGCCCCCTTTCCGTAGACCAGGTCACATATGCTTTTTATCTAATTGCAACAACACTGTTTCACTTTAAATATATGTATGTAGGTCAACTTCCGTATATGTCTTGTATTTCAATTACTTTTTCATTGACCACTGCACGCGCTTTGTTCAACAATGCAGTAAGAATCTGTTTTTGATTTAGACATATGCATCGTAACGATATTCCTAAGAAGTACTTGTGTAGTTTCAATTATTGCTACACATTTAAGATTATAAAAAACTTGAAAAGGCATTAAATTAACAAACTGATGCTAGTTTACCATCTCTTTCCTTAAAATCCTAAGTCCTTAGTCATTTTTTAATACGATGCGTTGGCCCTTGCTGCGTTTTCCATCGCTGCCTCCACCGTCTCTGCTGCTCCCTCCGCTTTCATACATTTGCCGTCTGGCGTCCAAGCGATCAAATATACCCTTCCGTGAATTACTACCGCCGCTGCTGCGAGATGACCCGGCTCCTGTGCGACGATTGCGACTACCATCGGAAGAGTGTAGTTCGCTATCCTTGCGGGCACCGCCTCCTGAAGTAGTTGACGATGACGACGACTTTAGTACAACTCGCCGATTACTGGAGCTAAAAGGTGCTGATGTTGATGATCTTTGTGACGTTGCATGGCTATTGCTGCGGCTTGATTTTAAATTTGTCTTGCTAGATGTTGGCGGTGCTATTGGTTCAGGAGTTGGAGTACGAGATATTGCCGCTCGTGGTGGGGATGGCGTTGGTGTAGCCAACAGCCGATCCTCCATTTCAAGCATTAGCTCATCTTCGTCGTAATCAAGTTCGACTTCATCATCACTAGGCGTGGACAGACGTCGAGGTTGTTTCAAGAGAGCTGCAGGCGGTGGCGTCGGTGTGAGAGTACCTCTCTTTGGAACTGGTTTTATGATGGCAGTGTTACTGCTACCGCTGCCCCCACCACCACTGCTGATACCACCACTAGCCCCGCCTCCACCGCTGCTCGTTACATTCGTTATATGATCGCTTATGTTGCGTTTGGCCTCTGGCAATATTTTAGCTGTTGGAATTTGTTTCCGCTGCGATTGGGTTTGATGCGTTTGGTGTTGCGGCTGCTTTTGACGTGGTAAATCATCATCAGAATATTGAGACTGTTGTTGACGCTTCTTCAAAGATATCATTTTACGTTCGGTTACCACAATCGGTTTAAGTTTCTGGGTCTGATCTTCACTGGCAGTGTTGGAAGTATTACTGCTACTGGCACTATTGGGCTGCGTAGCACGATGATCCTATAATTTTAAATGTATTATAATTTTGAAAAAATTCATCAAAGAAAATAGCAAGTAAAATAAAATAGAGTAATATTAACTAGGAATGTTAGTCCCGGGTTGCCCAGAATCCCGGGATTTTCGAGATTTGTAATTTACACTAGTGCCAATAATAGAAACGCTTTACGTTGACCAGTTTTGGCTATATTTCTTTTGTTTATTTAATATTTACATTTTTTTTTATAAATGTGTAGCTCAATATACATATAAAACCTTGGGTCAGGCAATTTTGCACACAAAACAAAATCAATATATTCGCCAAACCAAGGGCCAAATATGGTAAAATTGCGTTCTTAATTTTTCTCTCTGACGTCAGGATTTTTAAAAAGAACTTTGAAATTTGAAAGATATGAGTAATTCAAAATATGATTTAAAAATTTCAGTGCAATATACTTAAGAAACCAGTATGGGTATCAAATGAAAGAGAAGATTCTGTAGAGTTAAAACACATTACATTTTTTGGTCCGCAAGGGACGAGTAGGTATTGAAAATACCCTTTTATAATTTTATCCTTGAATATCCTTGAAATTTTTCAATTCTTATTTTTGAAAAAAATTATATGTTAAGCACTAACTTTATTAGCTTAAAAAAATAAAATAGATTAAAGAGGAATTTTCAATTTCTATTCGTCCTTTTGAACCCAAAAAAAATATTTCATTTGGTACCCATACTTTTGTTTTACATTGCACTAATTTTTTTTTTAAATATATTTTGGAATTAATCATATCTTTGAAATTACAACGAGTCCTAACCGCCAAAATAACTAAGCGACATTTTTTTCAAAATTTTCGTTTTGATGCAGAACTGCATCTAGATGCTCTAGGAATATTTCTGCATCAATGCATATTATACATATGCAGTTAATTATGTGTAATATGAAGTAGACTTTTATAAAAAAGTTTAAATTTTGGATAAACAAAAGGAGTATAGACAAAACTGGTCGAGCTTTGGCGCTTCTTTTATTTCTGCCACTGAATTATAAACTTCTTTCAACCAGAAAATAAATTTTTTTACTTAATTTTTTTTTTGCATCGAGCGTTTTTCGACATACCTTAAATTACTTTATCAGATATGTACACACTAAAGTATTATTAAATGCATAAAAATTTAATTACTGTCTGTCGTTTTGTTACTTATGAAATAATTTTCACTTTAAATAAAAAAGTACGTTCCAAACCCATTTACTTATTATTTATTATATGGTAAGAGAGCTTCTCAAACCATACTCATGCAATTTTTTCATGTTAAGTCTTTGAAAAATAATAAATATCTAAACCCCGGGCTGATCCCGGGATTGAACCAATGACATCCCGAAAAGCCCGGGATCGTAAAAATCGAAAAATTTAACATCCCTAATGTTAACACTTTAAAGACCGACTTAAGTTGGGTGGGACTAGGACTTTTTTGACGGCATATTATTGTGGGTGAATCCATAAATTTGAACTGGTATGCAATTTTAACGTATATTTTTGGTTTCACCGTTCTGAAATGTTGCTTTAAAAGTTAACAAAGTTTTCAAACAAAAACCGAAAAGATTAATGTATATAATCATGAAGAAAAAAATAATTTCCGTTAATTGGATGTAAGTCCTATGAATTTATTTATGCAAAAAAATCGCCATACATTTTTTTCAATTGATCACACTTTAGACCTAGGTGTGCGATATGTAAGTATGAAATTTATTTTGGGGTATTTTTTTAAATTTTGGGGAATAATTAAACACGAAGTATGTTGACAATCATCTGCCCCTTTTTATTTTATTTGCGAACAAGAAAGTTGCCTACTAGCGTTTGACCTCTTATTATAAAAAGTCTACACAGAGAAACTGATATAGGTAAAACGCAAGTTTCTAAAAGAAATTGTAAAATAAAATTTTTTTATATAATTTTACTTCATACAAAATAAAAAATACAGTATTTGTACTTACGACTATACAACGAAACATTCGCAAAACAAAAACGATCGTTATAATTGGGTGGTTCACAAGGTGTCGTACTTGTCGTATTGTTGTATGTTGTAAAGTTTTTAACGGCTAAATAAATGTTTAGAGGACTTGAAATCACCACCAACTATTTTTTAATTGTGTGAAATTTCATAATAAAACTTTTATGTTAGCTTGCGAATTCCTTAAATAGAGTTTTAGTCGTTCAAAGTTTATGACATACAACAGTACGACAGTATACAACACCTTGTGAACTCCCTAAATATATTCACTTTTTTTTACTGAAGAGAACAAACGACATTAAAGAAATAGCGTCAAAAATGCGTATTTTAAAAACTAAAATTAAACAGTTTAGAATATTGTCCCAACAAGTTGTAGTGCGACACAATTTTCAACAAACAAAATAAAACTAGACATTTTTAAAATAAAAACGTTAATTTATTTTCGGTCAATTAGGTATGAAACATATTTAAAACAATAATGTTTTGCATTACAATTCAAAAAGCTACCTAGCTATAATGAAAAACTTTCATAAGTATGTTTGCATCATTTGTCGGAAAAATTGTGTTCAGATAAATAAGTTACTTCAATCTTCAGAAAAGGCGATGAAGTATATAAATACAAACAATACTGCCATTCTAACCCCTAACTACATACAAGGGACATTGGTGGACTTCTTTGACCGAAAAAAGCTTTGGTAAGAGTAACTTACAAAAACATATTCTTATGGGGTACTAAAAAATAATTTAAAACTTTCTTAATTTAAATTACAGGATTTGACCAGCGTGAAGAAAAATTAGCAGGCCCAGCTTGGAAGTAAGCAGGAACATCTATATATATGTATTTATGTGTGTATATAGTTATATGTAAAACCAGGGACGTGAACCGGTTTTGAACCGAACCGGTTTTGAACCGGAAAACCGCTTTTTCTATTAATTAACTGAACCATTAACCGAACCGAAATTTTCCACAAATGTTTGATCCGAACCGAAAACCGAACCACTTTTTATAAACGTTTAAAGGTTCGTTTCAACCAATTTTCAATAGATAAATGTACCCACTTTTTTTCTTTTTGTTAAACATGGTAATACCTACCATATCAAATGTAAAGGCAACCCATCTCATGTGACAGACACTTGACCCTTAACCTTGCGCGTTGTTGCACTTGACACTTGACACTTAAACTTGCGCGTTATTTTTTTGTTTTTCGAACCGTTGAACCGAACCGAAACCTGGTACAAAGACCAAAAAAACCACTTTGATGAACCAATCCAAAAGTGCAAAAACGGTTCGAACCACTGAACCGAACCGACCAAATTTTTCATCCGGTTCACGTCCCTGTGTAAAACATCTGTATTTAATTTATTAAATGTTGTAACTTATTTATAAGTATATGTATATCAATATATTTTTGACAATGTGTGTACCAAACGACTTGTTGTGATTTAATAAAAATAAAATTTGAATATCATAACGCATATTTTTAAAATGAAGAAAAAACATTTTAGGATTTATAGCCCAATTCTGTACCGGTGACAAAAATTTTTTTACTGACAAATTTAAAATTTTCATATATTTTTCCGTAATAAAAACTGTGACAAGAATTTGTCACTGATACAGAATAGAGCCGTTAATTTCAACATGCACATATTCAATTATCAAACAACGATTTGAAAATGTTCATATCAAAAACAAAAACATGGATTTTGTAAATTGTATTGAAAATTTTCGTTCTGAAAATTTAAATAAATATTGTAGGTGCAAAACCTGGGTCAAAACGTTTTTAAAAGTAAAACGTTCGATACAAATTTGAAAACGAAAATTTCTCTGTGTAAGTTCGGGCGAAACCGAACCTTATATACCCGTCGCAATTGTGAAACTACCTTTGCATTGATAAACAGGAGGTTTTTTCCCCGAATGCAAACATTTTCGATAATACATATCCTCAGTTAGAACAAATGAAATAATGTAAAAAATTTGGTAGAAATTTATGAAACAATTGCCGATATTCACTTCCGTAGTCATAAGTGGGCGAGAGTTTTTGTATTTCTCAAAATTTACCTTTGTAAGGGAGCGGGGTCAGTTTCAGTCCTATTTCCATTTCCGATTGGTATAAGTTGGTAAAGCGGTTACAGAGAAAAGCATATATAATCATAAGTTGGCGGGGCTACGCCCATTTTCCAAAGGATTTTCATAATCCTCTTTTTTAGCTAAGAGGTTATTGTAAATATCAGTTTTCGGTGAATTAGCTTCAGTAGTCCCTAAAATATTGCATTTTTGTATTTATGCTAAATACGGTTACATGAAAAGTAGGCGTGGTTATTGTCCGATTCTGCCCATTTTCAATACCAAGCTACCTTGTATAAAAGGCAACCTACATATACAGTGACGAGCAAAACTGTAACATGGTGTAACGCATTTATTTCAGCCGCCGCTATCTTTCCAAGTTCTAACGACATTCATACTTTTGTTGTATATTCTTATTGGTACACCTGTACTTCCTCTCTCATAACGAATTGAAGTCAATCCAACAACAATAATAAAACCAGCAGACAAAAATTTAAATTAAGGCATATGTTACAGTTTGGCACTTAAGGTAAGTGTACCCATTTCCATGCTAGTACCTAATTCCGTGCTAATTTGGCCAACAATTTTCAAAATAGAAAAATATTAAAATGTTAAAAAAATTTTAAATAAAGAAGTTATGAAATTCATTACAATCGTCCAAGTTTAAAAATTTCGTACTTCGCAGCTTCCAAGCATCATTATTTTAATTCAGATTTGCATTCAAGTATCAGTCAACTACAAAATGTTAGTTAAAACCCATGTGTCAGTGAATAGTGTTCGCAAAATTGCTAAGAGCTTGGTGAAAAATTCGTAAGGGTCTAATCTTGAATTGGTAAGTATATGTATATTTTTGTCTTCCGACATTGAAAATTTGAAGTATTTTTTGTATAAATTTATGTATAAAAACCAGTGTATAATAGAAAAGTCTTTCAAAACCTTAAATTAAAAATAG